GCGCGGAGGCGGTAGGAGGCCTGGGGCTGAAGAGGTGGTTGGGCCCTGGGCTCAGCGATGGATTCAAGGAGGCGGCAGTGGACACAGAAGAAGAAAATCCTATAAGCCAATGGCCTGAATTCATTAAAATTCTTAAGATTATAAAAGATAGGGGAAAACTAAAGAACTGCCCCAGACTAAAGGAGAATAAAGTCACGTGACTAATAAATACATCCCATCTTGGACATGAAAGAGAAAAAAATGCAAACACGTGTCCATGTCATTGGGACATTGACCACATTTTCATGGAATCTGTGCATTGATTGTAATCTTGCCTTGGTGCTCATTTCTGCTTTGGATGATGGTAGCGTCATTAAGTAAAAGAGTATCTTTGTTCTGGATAAATATGCATTTAAATATTTAGGTGTGATTGACCACATTTTCATGGAATCTGTGCATTGATTGTAATCTTGCCTTGGTGCTCATTTCTGCTTTGGATGATGGTAGCGTCATTAAGTAAAAGAGTATCTTTGTTCTGGATAAATATGCATTTAAATATTTAGGTGTGATGGAACATCATGTTTATAAATTGCTCTCAAATTCTACAGATAAAATAGTGGTCATGGATATGTGATAAAAAGAGTTAAAGAAGAAAAAACAAATGTGAACAATTGGCGAAAAGGGCTATGAAACTTCCTTGTACTGTTTTTACACTTCCGTAGTTTGAAAATTATTACGAAGTACATTTTTCAAAACAGAAAACAATTCCAAAAGCCACAAGTGAGAGAGAAAAAATAAAAGATAACTCACAAAGGAAGAAGAATCAGATTGATATTAGGCTTCTCATCAACAATGTAAGAACATAATGAATTAATATTATCAGGATGTTAAAGGAATATAAATTTGAGAACAGAAGCCTATACAGAATCTTTAAGATGCTGTCTCAGATAGCAACACATTCAAAATAAGTATGAACAATGTCTGAATAGCATACCAACATTTGCTAATATATCTAAATATATATGTGTGTCTATGTATATACTTATATAAACACATACATATTTACAATAAATAACCATGTGCTACCCACAAAGGAAGTTTCAACAAAATACAATAAAAAACACAATGTTATATACACCATGTTCACTGTACAGAATGCAATGAAATTAAATAAACACAACTAAGCAACAAAATAAGTAAAAATAGATAAAATAAGAGTAAGCAGAAAATTTATTTTTGGCTCTCAAAACTGGCATTATATGGATAGTGCATTTTATAATTGATGACATCTTAAAACTGAGGAAATATAAGCCCATATCTCTTATTTGAAATTGCAAAATCTAGAAAGCTCTGAAAATCTAAAGTAATTTTTAAATTCACTTGGCAGGAAAATATAATCTGATCTGAAATCATTTGGTAGCAAAAGCTGGTCTTAATTGACAAAGGGCCATTTCATTTAAAGACTTTATTTATTCTAGAATGTGAATATTCATGTTTGTGGCAAATATGTATATCTGAATAAGCAGTGCTGTCCCAGCCCCTCTGGAAGAAGTTACATAATAAATTTATATACTATATAGGAATTTATATTACCATTTCACAATCTAAAAAATTTTGAACTCTGAAACACACAGCGTATCTCGAGTGGGGTTCTATAGGGAGTGTAGACGGGTACAGTATTTCTTCTGCATTCTGAACCTAAGAAAAAAGGGTAACGAGGGGCGCTTTTCAGCTCCAATATCTACTTTCTACCTCCTAAATTTTCCCAATCAAGTTATTTTACTGTGGCAAGACTTCAATTTTATGACTATTATAACATGGAAGCTTAAACTGTTTACGTTTTTCTTTCTTTACTTTCATGAAGAGAATAATAACATGCAAATAGTTTCCCTTGCCCAGAGCCAGGGTTTGAATATTAAGGGGGAAAAAAAAACTAATATTTTGATTGTTAATGATTCAGCCTGTAAGAGTAATGAACCATCAAAGTTTACTGTGAAAACAAAACAAAACAGAACTAAACTTGAGGGAAGAGAAAGTGTCTCTGAGAGAAGTCTGGATAGAATGGAATGGATTTCCCCCCACCTTTCCCAGTCCTTGGCTAAAATGACGTTGGAAGGAGGTGAGTAAATGAAAGGGGGTCCCAGAAGGAGCCCCGGGAGCTGTGGAGGCCAAGAAGAGAGCTTGCCTGAGTACTCCTGGTTAAGGATCACTGGCAAGAGCAGGGGCCAGAGAGTGAATCCAAGCTGAGTAAACAGCAGCTCTCACTTGAGTGAGAATGTCATTACTCCAGCTGATCTGCTCTTTATCAGCAAGAAAGCCCTTAATTAGAAGCCAGTGCCTCACCTATTGATTTTGGGCAGGGATGATGCCTTCTGGGTTATAGGATTTTACTAAGCCCTGTCTGAGTAACCCAAGGAGAAAATCTCCCTCCTGATTATGATAATCTGGGACCTCTCTAAACCCAAGACAGGTGAAATTCTCGACAACTGGTGTAGTCGGAATGATGGGGGAAATCACTCCTTGCTTTGCTGCTGCAGGGGCAAGGGTGCAGAACTAAACAAGATTATATTTTGAAAGTGGCTGGAGAGATGGCCCTACACCTGAATGATTTGTAAATAAATAATAGTTTATGCTCCTAGCCATTCCAACAACTCCTTCTCAATAGCTGTTATCAGAAATGTGGGCAGTTTTAGTTACTGAACCAATCTACAGACCTTGAGAAAGAGTATGAATGACAAGGAATCATACTGAAAATCATTGCAGCGTTATGTGACAGATTTAATGCAAAGACGAATTTTTTATAGGTACTACTAAGACAAACAAACTACAATAACAATAAAACCCTGAGCAACCTCTGTAATCTTTTTAGAGACCTATTTCCTATGTTGAATAGGTCTATATCTTAGGCCTAGAGAAGGAAGCTAGCTCATATCTTTCATATTATCACATACCATCATTCGGCCCATTCAGATTGTCCTAAACTCCATCTACTCCTGAATTCACATCTTCTTTAAGAGTTTCTATAAACAACCAAGCCAAAGGAAGCATTTTGTTAGATGATAATTTTCAAGAGAAGATAAAATCATGACTCTTATACAAACATGGAATTAACACATGTCAAAGATATGTAGCCCATTAATTAAGTAAGGGGCTCATTACAATGGGTTCAAAAGGAGACCTCAAAGAAGACCTGTTTATGAATCTACAATATTGAGATGAATTTGCAAAACTGGCTTTTCCACAAGAAAAAAATGTTTTCCCTCCATTAGACAGAATTTCTTTGCATTTCTATAGACAAGAATTATTTGCAGTATTCACTTTCTACAATTTAACTTTACTTTGTACAGAGTTGTAAAATAGCTTAGTTAGAGACAAAGTTGCATATCCCTCTAAATTCAGATAATCCCTAAAGGCTCTAGTATTGCATGGAATATACAGACAGTAATCTCCTTTGCTTATTCCAAAGTATTAAATTTCCCCTTACAAATATTACTTGAATACATTTTTTAAATGATCACAACTATTTCTGCAATTCTGTAAGTCAAGCTGTAGATTCTGTTTTAAAGAAAATGCTCATCATTCGTGTGGATTATAAGAAAATGTCATGGCTTTTCATAATTGTCAAAGTATCAATGACAGTGAGTAGGCAGAAATGACTAGTTCCTGTTCTGACATTTAGATAGATTTACAGTTTGAAAAAACTTAGGCAGGGTAAAGAAAAAGAAAAATATTTTGTCAATCATTACTTTAAAAATAATGTTGAGTAGAAAAAAACAGCTTGATAATCATCAACAGCAATGTCAATAAATGTTTTTATATGTGCTACAATTTTTTTTTATCCTCACCTGAGGACATTTTTTTTTCCCATTTTTTGTTCAGATAGAGTGGGAGGGAGAGAGAGGAAGAGAGAGACAGAGAGAGAAACATGAAATGGACACATCGAATGGCTGCCACCCACGCGACCCAACCAGGGCTGGGGACAAACTGCAACCGATGTACGTGCCCTTAGCGGGAACCAAACCCCGGTCTCTCTAGGCTGCAGGCCAACGCTCTAACCGATGAGCCAAACCAGCCAGGGCTGCTACACTATTTCTGGGTAGAACTAAGATCAATAGAGAATTCTCTTAATTCTCAAGGAAGGTTAGAGAGAAATGTAGCAAGGAGTTCAAACTTTATTGGAGCCATGTTAAAGAGACCTGGAATGTCATGTTAAAGAAACCGTCATTCCTGAAATATTCTTTACATTTTAAGACAAACAAAAATATTGTGAATTAAATGCTAATGGTAACTGACACATTAACTATGGATCAAAATATTGGTACACTATAGGTTTTCTTTAATATATATCACATGTACGCACATCAAATATTTACATTATATATAAGCACAAAGCCTGCTTTTTGCCATTTTAAATGGTCATATCTTTGTATAAATATTACAGCATTGATACATAATTTGGGAAGATGGTCTTTAAAGTTTATATGATGCCAAGTCTTTTGGTCACAAATAAAACCCTAAATTATTTCATGAGGGGAGTTGTGGGTAGCCAGTCGGGTTAAGACTTGAGGAAGAAGAGAAAACATAAAAGTCAACCTGAAAGTTTGCATGCAATTTCCTTTCAAAGAGTTTGCCATCTCCAAAACTACACAGCCACAAAGCAAGACTCCCAGAAACCCTACCAAACGCAGTGGTATGCTAAAAAGTGAGGCAAAGATTTTAGCAATGTGACAGTACTGAGGATGTGTAGGTTATAATTCGGGGCTCACAAAAGTAAATGGGACATAGGAAACACCCCTATGATTGCACTTGAGACTGCAGAAAAGCTATATTCTAGAAATAAGGGCTATTATCAAAGAAATGAAGGAAAATTAGAACTGAAGCTGTCTCACCAGAGTAAAGAATCCACTCTCTATTAGATTAAGGTGGTCTGCCATAATTCTATCTTCTTATCAAAATGAAATTAAGTTGTCTTTGGATGAAGACATCATCATCTAGGACCTCTATAATTTTTCATTCAGATGATCAATATTCCATCAAATATCACTAGAGAAAACAAGAAATTGAACATATAACAAAAAATTAGGGGAAATTTTGGACTAGAAATAGAACTAAAGATGTTGGAGTTATCAGTGGAAACTTTAAAATAACAATGTTTGATATAGTCATGAAAATAAAAATAATGGAGAATTTACAAGAAAACAGAAATCTACTAAAAAGAATTAAGTGGAAATTATATAATTGAAAAGATAATAATTGAAATTAAAAATTCAATACATCAGTTTAATAGCAGATAAGGTAAAAGTAAAGATTAATAAACTTGTAGACAGTAACTAGAAAATACCCACATGGAAAGTCAGAAATAAAATTAAATGGGGACAATTCGGTGGGGAAAGAGTAGTCTTTTTTAAAAAATGATACTGACCCACTTCTAGGAATATACCCTAAGAAGCCTGAAACACCAATTATAAAGAATATATGTACCCCTATGTTCATAGTAGCACTATTTACAATAGCTAAGATCTGGAAACAGCCTAAATATCCATCAGTAGACAAATGGATAAAAAAAACTGTGGTACATATACACAATGGAGTACTATGTAGCTGTAAGAAAGAAAGATCTCTTATCCTTTGAGACGACATGGAGGGACCTGGAGAGTATTATCCTAAGCAAAACAAGCCAAGCAGAGAAAGACAAATATCACATGATCTCACTTATTTGTGGAATATGATGAACGTAGCGATCTGAAGAATGGGGTAGTCCCAGAGACATGGAAGTGGGGTACAGACTGACAGCCCTCAGGAGAGGGGGTGAGGGGGAGAGATAAACCACAGAACTTATATGCATGTATGCATAACCAATGTACATGGACAACAAAGCTGGGGACAGAGCGGGGAGGGGGGGTATCAATGGGGGAAAAAGGAGAAATATCTGTAACAAAAATAAATTAAATAAATAAATAAATAAAAATGGCACTGAGACAACTTCATACCCACAGGCAAAACAGTAACGTTTTAACTCAAAATGGGTTGTAGCCAGAAATGTAAAGCTAAAGCCATAAAACTTCTAGAAGAAACAAAGGTGTAAATCGTCGAGACCTTAGATTTGCCAGTGGCCTCTTCCATGTGCCACCAAAAGCACAGCGACACAAGGAAATAGGTGAATTAGATTTTATCAAATTAAAATGTTTGCATTTTAAAGGACATCAAGAAAATAAAAAGACACTATTCAGAGAATGTAAGAAAATATTAGCAAATTATGTATCTGAGAAGGGACACATCTAGTATAAAGAAATCTTACAACTCAACAATAAAAAGACAACACAGTTTGAAAATGGGCAAAAGGCCTGGCCAGTGAGAGGTCCTAGTTCGATTCCTGGTCAGGGCACATGCCTGGGTTGAGGCCTCCATCCCCATCAGGGACTGTGCAGGAGGCAGCTGATCATTGTTTCTAGCTCACATCGCTATTTCTATCTCTGTTTCCCTTCCTTTCTCTCTAAAAAAAAATCAACAAAAACATTTTTTTAATGGGCAAAGGATTTCAGTACATATTTCTCCAAAGGAAATATGCAAATGATCAATGAGCACTACATGATGCTTAAAATCATTAGTCAAATACAAATCAAAACTGCAATCGGAAATCATTTTAGAGCCCTTAAGATCATCAAACAAAAAGACAGGCAATAAGCCCGGCTGGTGTGGTTCAGTGGTTGAGCGTCGACTCATGCACCAAGAGGTTACTGGTTCAATTCCAGGTCAGGGCACATGCCCAGGTTGCGAGCCAAATCACCGGTGGGGGGCATGCAGGAGGTGGCCAATTAATGTTCCCTCTCATCGATGTTTCTATCTCCCTCTCCTTTCCTCTCTCTCTCTAAAAAAAAATCAATAAAGAAAAGATATTTTTTTTTTAAACACAGGCAATAAAAAAAAAAGTTAGTATGTGGAGAAATTGAATCCTCCTACATTTCTTGTGGGATTATATTATTTTGCAAGTACTTCAGGAAAAAAGTTTGGCAGTTCCTCAAAAAGTTAAACATAGTATAAATATATGACCCAGCAATTCCACTCCTAGTTATATATCCAAAAGAATTGAAAACATATGTCCGCACCAAAATGTGTATACACGAATGTTCATAGCAGCATTATTTGTAATAGCCAAAAAGTATAAACAATCCAAATGTCACTAATAATCAATATAAAAAGTGGTATATGTCCATACAATAGAATAATATTTGGTCATAAAAAATAATAAAGTACTTATACATACACACTTCACAATGATAAACCTTAAAATAGCATGCAAAGTGAAAGAAGCCACACAAAGTTTATATTTTGTAATTCCACTTATATGAAATGTCCCAAACAGGCAAATTTGTAGAGAAAGAACGTAGATTATCAGTTGCCAAGGGCTGGGGAGAAAGGAACACGAAGTGACAGATAATGGGTACAAGGTTTCTCGTGCAAGGTTTCTTTTCAGGGGTAATGAAAATATTCTAAATTAGATGGCATTTACAACTCTGTAAATATAATAAAATTAGATAGTATGTTGATAACTCTGTAAATATAATAAAAACCACTGAGTTTTTATTATATTTACATTTAAACCACTGAGTTTTTATAATATTTACATTTGTCATCCATTAAAAGGGCTAATTTTATGGTATGTAAATTATATCTCAATAAAGTGGTTTTAAATTTAATTAAATTATAAAACAAAACTGAGAGACTTCAATGTAGATCTACTCTAAAATATATATATGATCAATAAGCACTATATATAAATACACACACACACACACACACACACACACACATACACTACCAAGAGTTCCCTTCAGTTAGAAGGAAAATGATCCAGTGGAAGTTTTGTGATACAGAATTATCAAAATTTCAGAATGTAAATAATTCTAAATCAATACTAGTTGATTTTTTTTAAGTATCTTGGGGGTCTAAAATATATAAAAATGAACACCTATCACAACAATAGCACAAAAGGTGAGGATTAATGGAATCAGACTGTTTCTGGGACCTTTGCATTGTCCAGAAAATACTGAAAGTACTCATTTAAGGTAGATTCTAACTTAATGTAGACAGTAATAATTCAAGAATGCACGTTAATCTCTACATTAGCCACAAAAGAACATTTTTAGACCCATCACTATCAAGCTATTAGAAGTAGAAAGAGAATAACAAAATGTACTTATTGATTCAAATAAAGTTAGGAAAGAAGGAGACAACAGCAAGAAGTAAATTTAAATCATGCCTAATATAGTAAATCCAAACACAAATACATTGGAAATGATATTAAATATAAATTGACTATATACTATAATTAAAGGACAAAATTTTAAATAGATTTTTAAAATCTATATACTGCTTACAAGACACTCACCTTAAATGTAAGAGAAAATGGGAAGAAATGTATGAAAAAAAGAGGTGATATGCAAACACTAATCAAAAGAGAGGTGTTGTAGCAATACTAAGATGAGACAAAGAAAACTTGAAGGCAAAAGAGTAATAACTGAGAATAGAGACTTGGAAATATACATTTTCAAAACGGTCAATACAACAGTGTGCCATAATAATCTCTGCAGGTGTGTACACACCTGGTAACAGAGTGTCCAAGAATGATAAGCAATAACTGACAGAGCTAAAGAAGAGATAAATAATCCACAATCCTGATTGGAGATATTAACAGAATTTAGTGATGATCAAAGAAGACAAAGATATCCATAAGAATATAGAAAAAGTCAGTTACCACACTTGACTTGGTTGACCCATACAGAAAACCCCACCCATACAACAGAATCCACATTCTTTTTAGGTGCACTCGATTCATTTAACAAAGTAGACCATATAAGGTTACATAAATTTCAAACTGTTAAATCAAACAGAAGAAATTCTTTAACCGGTTTGAAACTAAGCTGGAAATTAATATATTGAAAGATATCTAGAAGACTTTCCAACAGTTTAGAAATTAAACAATACAATTCTAAATAACTCATGAGTCAAAGAAAAAGTGATTGAAAATATAAAATATTTTAATTGAATGATAATAAAAATATATCAAAATGTATATGGAGAGGTAAAGGCTTAAATACATATATTAGAAAAACAAAAAAGTTAAAAATCAGTTATCTATGTAGAAAGTAGAAAGTAAAAGAAAAAATAAGGATAAATACAGAATCAATAAAACAGAAAAAACATACAAAAAATTTTTAAAGCCAATATTTGAAAAATAATAATAAATGGATTAACTCGTAGAAAGGATAAACAGGGGAAAAAATAAAACACAAATTACCATTATGAGAAATTTAAAAAGTGAACATTATTTAAAATTTTACAGTCACTCAAAATATAAGAGGATATTATAAGCAATTTTATGTCACAGAATTTGAGAATTAAAACAAAATGAAAAAAATTGTTAAAAAAAATACACCTTCCCATAACATACATAAAAAAGATACAGGAAATTAAAATAGTCCCACACCTGTTAACGAAATCGAATCTGTAATGAAAAAATTCTTCCCACAAAGATGGATCCACTGATAAACTGTTGCTAACATTAAAAAAAAAAAAAAATGACCACACTAACTTTTCCAAAGAAAAGAAACAGGAAAAAATTCCACCTTGTTTTGCATGGCCAACATAATCTAATGTCCAAATCTGTCAAGAATATTACAAGAAAGAGAAATTATAAGCCAATGTATCTTATAATCATAGGTGCAAAGACCTTAAATAAAATAGCAATAAATTGCATCCAGCAAAATATAAAATTTTAAAGACAAAAAAATTAGACAGTATTCCCAAACTTCCCCTCATTGACCTATATCACACCCTATTTCCAACATAACCGCAAACATATTCTTTTCAAGGACATATGAAACATTTAGCAAAATAGATATTATGATGATCAACAAAGCAAATAGGATATATTCAGGTTGTTTTAATATATAATATTCAATCAATGGGAGATTTACTCTCAGTCTGGTGGAGTAAATTCCTAACAGATAAATTCACCCAGAGATAACAACAGTAATTACCGA